TCTACACATCTATTTCAAATTTTCATTCACCAGTAAAAACTCCAACATAGTATGAGAGGTCTGTCTTTTATAAAGTTCTCTTTCTAAAGTTGGCCTTATCGATTCACACTAACCTACCCCTATATTATCTGTCGGTTTTCCCCCTCTTCCTGAACCTCCTTTCTTTTTCACATAAGATAAACTTTACTTTCCTTGTTAAACCATCTAGAGATATGGACAACGTAACCTACTAAAGATCACTAGTTAAACCCCCTCCCCCCCCCCCCAAACCCCCCCTAAAAAAAAAAAAAAAAAAAAAAATATACGGTAAGCCTTTCTAAAATAAATAATAACCCTAATTTCTAAACTAAAATTCCAAAAAATTATCCAGAAAAAAATCTACCGACATCTCCGAAAAAAAAAAAAAAAAAAAATTTGAATCAACCCATTCTTGATTTGCATCATTCCCCTGGGTTGGAGAAAATTTGTCCGCGAGTTTTAAAATGCGTTAAGATGAAATTCTCATTGGTCCCACAATCTTCTTCATCCTAAATAAATTAACGCGATCCTGGGACCTATGAGTTTTTGCACTAATAAAAAAACAATGATTGTGCGTTGAAATTGAGTAACCCTCGAGGAATGGTTCAATATACGTTGATAGAAATTGTTTATGCTCAGCCTTAAACCATACCAATGGGGCATCTTCTAGTTAAAGAACTTTCAATCAATGAACCAACTTCACCAATTGATTCTCGTTTGAGTCCTTCGTCTTTTTGTTCTTCAAATATCTCGATATGTCGAGCTCTTCTGGATTTAAGTCAACATCTTGCTTCTCCATCTCCCCATTGATGAGGAAAGTGGATATTCTTGCTGCGTTAAAGAAGAGTTTTATCAAAGATGGGGTCACTTGTGCCATCGAGGAACGATGATTCGACCTAAAGATCTATATCAACTTGTTCTTCACCTTCAACTGGTTCTTCATCAAACTTAGGTAGACCAACTTTAATGTTGAAATCCCACAATCTACTCTCTCGAACATGATGCTCCTTACGCGGAGTGTGTGCATAGAACGGAGTTCTCGAAGACAGCTTCCGACTCACTACTACATCATAATGTGTCGGAGTAGGTTTTGCACAAAGCTTGGGGCAACTCCTCAACTTGCCTTCTCAAGTCTTCTATCTCAATTTCAGGGAGGTCTCATTCTCATTGGATGGGCTTATTCTTGGTACCCAGTTGTTGACCACGTCCACAACCCATGATGCTTTATCGACGAACACACCATCCGACAAGAATCAACGCTCTGATACCACCTAATACAATTGAAAATTCATCGGAGCCAACGACCGGCAAATACAACTGTCTTATAAGGGAAACAAACAACTGAGAAGAGATCATAAGAAGGGGCACAAACGTGGGGATCTGAGACTTCCACCATGCACCATCAACAAGAGAAGACGAAAAGAAGAACAAAGAGCCAAGCTCTTTCTATTCCTGTTCGAAGTCCTCTGCTTTCAAGAAGCCGAGCTCTTTCTGTTTATCTCTTCTTGGTTGTCATCTTTCTCTGTGTTCAATTGGGTGGGCATTAGGCTCACGAAAGAACTACAACTCCTCAAAGGAACCCTCGAATACTAGAGGTACTAGTTAAGTGTTCTCCATGAGAAGAAGGCTTCATGATATTGAAGAGCTGGTTTTACTCAAGGAATTGAGGGGCCTCACTCCTGATGTAAGGAACAAAAGGGTGGTGGTGAATGCAGACTTCAGCAAAGTGAGTAAAGAAGAGGAGATTTTTTGGTATCCAAGTTCTAGGTCAAAATGGTTATGACAGGGACAAAAACACTATTTATTTTCACAAAGTGGCTAATAGTCTCAACAAATTCAACTCAAATTTGCAAATCATAGACAACAAACAAATCTACACCAACCTTCTAGACGTCAATAGGATGGTTATCAATTTCTTCGGTGATCTCTTCACAGCTTAGTCCACAGTGCAAATTTACAAAGCTGAAGAGTCCATTCACCTAGCCAATAGGCTCAAGTGTCGATTCACCAAGGCTCAAATCTTGCAGACCATTAAAGACCTTGGCTAGGATGAAGCCCTAGATAGTGATGGCTTTCGGATTTCCCTCTTCCACAAGTTTTGGGAATTCCTTGCTCTAGATGTAAGCACTTTCTTCTTGGAGTTCTACCATAGGGGGTTCATTTATAAGGAGATGATTCCATATTCATCACCCTCGTCCGAAGGTAGGAGCGGACCCTTTAGCTTTGCTAAATAGCAATCTGAGTTTTGGACACTAGTCTAAGGAGTGTCCTAAACTCTATCTTCTCACGAAATCAGGGGGAAAATGAATTTTGGATGGGGCATAAGTTGCAAATGAAGTCATCCACTTATGTGCCACTAGAAAGAGCCAGGTCTTATCCTGGAAGAAAACATATTATCATGTAGTTTGAGCCACTGGACCAGGTCCAAGAACCTATGGCTTTGGGAGAAAGTAGAAGTCTTGGATTTCTGGGTGTATCTTGTCGGCACACTTCTTGGTCTTACTTATGGGTGTGCAACGAGAGACCTTCGACAAGGGGATCCCCTGTCCCCCTTTCTTTTCTCCATTTGGGGCGAATTTTAGTAGATCCATTGAAAGCCTATATCATCACAATCTGTTACGAGGGTTTAAAAGCTCAAGTAGAGAATCCTTTATAACTCACCTCCAATATGCTGACAACAGGTTGCGATTTGGTGATGCTTAGATACGAGTTGATAAGCTGTATTAATCTTACAGTATTTTGAGTTCTTAAACAAGCATGAAGTTTAACATGTGTAAAATAATCTATTGGGGTGGGGGTGAATAGAGATGAACTCCTTGAGTTTGCTAAATGAATTGTTGTGGTGTTGACATGCTGCTAACCAGATACTTGGGTCTGCCTTTGTCTGTCTGTATGCTTGGGAAGAACCAAAGAGATAAGAGTGGTAAAAAGAATAGAACGGAGATTATCCCCTTGGAAGGGGTGGTTTCTATCCACTGAAGGGAAGCTCGCCCAATTGAAGCCCACTTTGTCAAATATCCCAATCTACCTATGTCCCTTTTAAAAATTTCCAGCGGCTATGGGAAATTTCCTTTGGATGGTATATAACTGTGTGGGACAGAAGTTCCATCTGGGATCTATGTGAAAGCCCAAGATGGCAATGGGCTGGGGCATAAAAGGCATAAAAACCATGAATAGGCCCTTACTTGCAGTGCTGTATGGACAATGACATAGGTGTCCTGACTATTACGTGTCCCAAGTATTTGTTATTTGATTCTAAAAACTACACATGCATATCCTTGTGCATAAACTTTTATGAAAGTTTAAAATATAATATAAAATTTATGGTTTTTTTATTGATATGAAGATAAAGCTTTTTTTTTTTTAAATTCTTAGCATATCAATTGTTTCTAGATCCCAACTTTAGAAGGAATTTTGCCTTATGCTCTAACAAAACATTATGATAATATATATACCAATAATCTATTTTGTTCCATAGTTTTGTCAAAAAAGAAACTTAGGAGCTAACGTAGTTTTGGCTGATACTATGGCTAACTAGAGTATTTATAATTCATTTTTTGTACTCTATTAATTACTTCTAGTAATAGTCGCTACGTGGTTTATGGTTAGGGGTTCTCAAATCCTAATTAAAATTATTAAAAATGAAAATAAAACAAAAAGTAAAATAAAATGATCATGTATTTGATATTCAATTGTAATTTTTTTTTTTTTGTGTATTCATCATTGACTACCATGTTGATTTTAAAAAATATATTACATATACATATGATGAAGTTATCATTTTTAACAACTGAATGTACATAATTTGAACATATTCGTTTAATAAATAAAATTTTATCAATAATTTCGGTTGTGTATAATTCTTTGATAATTTTTGTTATGTGTAGTTCCCATGGAACAAGGACTACCATGGAATGTAGTTCCATTGTTTAAATCTCTCTTTCTCTCCCCCCCTCTCTCTCTGATGGAAATAAGGCTACAAGTTTTACTTCCATTTTAACCTTTAGAATCCCTAGTTCTCATGAATTTTTTTTAATATGCATTACCTTTTAGAGGGCAAGTGCACTCTTTCATTCATAAGGAACACAGAGGATATGGAAAGTTGAAACCCCGCATGACTCATGCTACCTTTGTAGGAAGCCTTACTAGGTCCCTCTTTAAATTTGAAATGTATTATCCCATGCGGGAAATAGAAAAAGCACATGAGAAGTTGAAACCCCATGGCTTGTGCTAAATTTTTTTTCTGTTTTTGAATATAACTTTGTTCTATAAGAAGTCAACTCTAGACAAGGATAGTTGTGTCTCACAAAGTGACACTGTTCTTTTTTATTTTTATTTTTATTTTTTATGTGGGGGACTGTATTAGAAAACCCAAAACTTATGTTTGGGTAACCAATTGTCGGCTGGTGACCATACTAGTACCCAAAAAGCTTGACAAATTGTCAGGGTTAGTGGCAGCCCTCTGATTTAATGGACAGCTAGGACTCCCCAGCCACAAATGCATTTTCTGTGGATGGGGATATATGTCATTAAGTTCTTCAGAAAAAAAGAAAAGAGAAAAAAGGTAACGTACGAATGTCTTACCTGTTCTTTCCAAAAGAAATATAGATAATTATCCAAATTAAAAAAAAAATCTATAGAATGCAAATTGAGGTGATGTGTTTCCGTTATTCGACCCCTACATTTGTAGATGCACTATTTTTAGAAGAATAATATGGAATAATACCCTATTGTCCTCTTGTATGTTAATTTCTAACTCTTACAAACCTGACTTGAAGTCTTGAACTGGAAAATGAGATGTTTTCATCAATGTAAAGGCCATTTTATTTTTGTTTTGATTATGCTTTTGTTGTATAATTCTTTCTTATGAATTGGGCATTGTTTGATGAGATCAAATGCCTCTTCCTTTTTGCATTGTACAGATTAACTATATACTCTATAGTACAATTAATGCTTATGAATATATAATTTGGCCTTGAAAGGTTCTTGGGCTGCTTCTTATAACTTCAGCACGAGATCCTGGAATCGTTCCTCGTGCTCCACATCCACCAGAGGAAGAGTTCTATGATTCTTCAGTTTCATTAGAAGGTGGCAGTGGGCAAACACCCAGGCTACAGTTCCCTCGCACCAAAGATGTTGTGGTCCATGGTGTGACTGTGAAGATCAAATACTGTGACACATGCATGCTGTATCGCCCTCCTCGTTGTTCTCACTGCTCCATCTGCAATAACTGTGTCGAACGCTTTGATCATCATTGCCCTTGGGTGGGCCAATGCATTGGAAAGGTACTAATTTTTCGTTCAAGGGTTGTTTTTTAGTTTTTACTCTTTTCGTTTTGGATTGGTGCTCTTGTTGGCCTGATCAGGCTTACAAGATCAGTAAGGGTTGAATTTTCAGCTTGCTTATTGAATCCAGCTATGTAAAACCTGAATCCTCCAAAACAATAAGGCATCAGAAATTAGTGGTGGGCAACTTGAATTGTTTTGTATTGTATGTGTATGTCTGTGCATGTGCATGTGCGTGTGCGTGTGCGTGTGCGTGTGCATGGTATGCATGCATACATGCATGTGCGTGTGTGTGCCAGTGCACGTGCTTGCATGCGTGCATTGCTGTCCCCGTCCATGTACACATGCTGGAGGCACACAGTTTAGAGCGTAGTTCTTATTTGGCTTACCAAATTGAAAATAAGAATAGAGTGTTCTATTCTTATTGTGCTAGGTCATCTTCTATAATTCGCAGATGATTTCCCCATTTTGATTTCAATTCAATGAGTAAACAGGACTAGTATCTTGATTTTGATATCCCTGTTTGATCTGGCCCAATGGGATCCCATACTTCAATATCCCACTGTACATGCAGTCATGGCAATGTAGCAATAAATCTTTTCTAAATTCCACTTGATGCAATTTCCCGTCCCAGCTGATATTTTCATGACTTATTGGACATGGAAAACTCATCTTAGAATGTGGAAAACTCATTTATTTATTTTCCTGCCCGGTTCCATTTCAGGCAATGTTTGATCCTCCCACATCCCTAGCATTGTCATCTTGCTTTTGTTTTCTGGCCAAACTCCTGGAAATTTGTCTCACTATTCTTAGATTTAATAAAGCTCGAACTTATTTAAAAGAATCATTATTTTCTTAGTGATGGAGTGGATGTATTTTTTTTCTTTGGTGGAATTTTCAATTGTTATTTGTGTGGTTTCCTTCAAAACAAATCCCCTTGATCAAACCATCTTGAATTCATGGAACGTCTACTTTTGACCCCATTCTCACAAATGAGTGAAGCACATATGTGAAACTATAAATATGTTAGTTCTGGATGTTGTAAGAAGCTTTATGATCCCTACTCTGTGAGTTGCATCTCGACTAACAATTATCTTTCTTTGATTAGATAAATTTCTCAGTTGATGACTGTACTATCGAATAATCAATATGACAGAAAATCTTAAAATCCTCGGATAGTGTTTCATATGCAGCTTTCATTACATTTAATTGTCTGAAGAGTGGTTGTTTGTTGCGTTGTCAATAAAGTCTGTTCTACTAATTGTTTCTTTAATGTTTTTTGTTGTTGCATGAATCATCATTTGGTGTTTTATCCATTTCGTTGCTCTATTCTAGGGATAAGTTTCCATACAGTACGACGTAAAAAAATTAATTAAGTTGTAGTTCCCGTAACCCTCTCTCTCTCTCTCTCTCATACACGCACACACACACACTCACACTCACACGCTTGGACATATGATACGGATCTTGAATGTTTCCTAACCAGTGAACTGGGATCCTGAAACTATACTACCTGAGCATGTCTTTAAGAAGTAGCAGGGTTTTAGAATATCCAAGGACCTCACTTGGGTCTGGTATATTAATTTTTAAAGATGCTCAATCGGTTGATTCGGTTGCCGAAAATGAATCATGGAAAGTCCTTTCCTGGGCTGTTTGACTATTTTATATGTTGTATGAGGCAAAATATCTTGCAAGCTATCGCAACTCTTGTGTTCCCTTTGAAATTTATTTAAGGTCTTCCATTTGCTTCCATTTATTATTTGAATATTTTGTTTTACGAATATTTTTTGTGGTTTCCTCATTATTTTTGTAGCGTTTTTTTTTTAGTTTTTAAGTGTTCCCTGTTTCACTTATCTCACCTATATTGAGACTTTGTTTCCTGTGCTTTTCTCAAAATTACATGCCTCTTTTCTGATCAATTAGAATGACATACTTTTATCCAGGGCTTCAGGTAATAATCTTGTAGCTGCTTGTCTTATGAGTAGTGTCAACATGTGTTGCTAAGTATTGTATGCCTGTGGGGTTCCACCAATTCTAATTTGCTAAATATATAAGAAATATAGGAGGATTGGACAACGCTTACTATAAATGCAAACTTGTTACACTTCCTCAACTTTCCGTTCCTAGGGGACGCTCTATCTATAAGCTGGACTGCTATATTTGCATGAATGTGTGCTTACATGTTTTTTCTCTTTTGTTGTATTTTCTTGACTTTCTGTTCCCAGCAAATATCTGCATGTATGTTATCAATGCGTGCTTGTTTTTCCCTTTTTCTTGTGCTTGTCGTGCATATGTACCAATTGCTTGATGCTTGTGTCTGCGTGCATGTGTATTATTTTGATTAAAGTTGATTTCTAGCACTCGCTTTGGAAGACTGCTGTTCAGTGTAAACCTTTTTCCATTGACTTCATCACTGCCTAATGGAATGATTGATAGTGTTGGAAAGAGAGTGGGACCACACCATAGGGGGCATCCTGTTCTGGTTGGTTCGACTCTTGCTCTACCTCCCATTACATTGGATGGCGATGATCCTCATTATCTGAGCGTGCCAGTGTTGAAAAACTCGAACTTGGCAGCCAACTTTGGTATGGCCAAAAAGTGACTCGACTGTCCTGGTTGAACAGTAAACATGGAAAAAAAGGGTGAGCTTTTTAAATTTTCATGCAAAAAGTTCGAGAAGAATAAAGAAGAATAAATGAAATTAAATCCAGCTCATTATGCAAGGCATTCTGCATCCCCGTCACATCTGGATTGCCATGTATTTGTCAAATTAGGTAGGGAAATTATATTTTATGAAATACATGGATACATCCTGAGTTTTCATTTATAAAACATGCTCGACCTGGAGAGTTGAGAACTCGAGAGTTCTTCCAAATTGAAACAAGTTTTCCAATTTGTCTATAGAGCATAGCTGTTTTCACATTTATATTGACTCTCTTAATCCTAGTTTTATCTCATGCAGCGCAATTACCGATTCTTCTTCCTGTTCGTTTCGTCTTCAACCATTCTCTGCGTATATGTTTTTGCCATGTCAGCCTTGTACATTAAACTTCTTATGGATGGAGGTCATCATACAGTTTGGTGGGCATTGAGAGAATCTCCCGCATCAGTTGCAGTCATGACCTATTGTTTCATTTCTGTATGGTTTGTTGGTGGTCTCACTGTCTTTCATCTCTACCTTATAAGCACTAACCAGGTGAGTTAATCTTCTAAGGTTTTAAGAACTTGCCTTCTGCTGCTGATCATGGTGTAAGTATGCTATGATCCAATGGATTATATGTAACAAAAGTCCACTGAGGGTCATCACCATCGAATAAAACGATTGACTATGTTCTAGGGCGTGTAGATCTCAGCATTGAGATCATGTCCTGTCCTAGTGGGTTCCACTCTCCATGCCGAATCATTTCACTGGACGGTGATGACCCGAGTGGATTATGGTTTTAAGCAGGCCATTGGATTGTTATATACTTTCGCTTTTCGTATGATGTATTGTTCTCTAAATGATTGCTGCAACGTTTATGTTATTCATCTAAAACCATCTAAAAAATGAAAAAAGAAATGGAGCTATGCACAGAAATCATGAGGTGTTTATAAAGTTAACCCTTACAGTACAACATTTGGCAACAGTTGGCAATCTGTGATTCTAGGACTCGTATTGACATGGTACTTTGGAATTTTGGAAGTGTTTTGTGCGATTCTCGATCTTGTTTTTGCAAATGTTCTTTCATTTGATTTCTAACTGTGCCGATTGTGGCTGCAAAACATATTGTTTTGGAACGCAAGGGTGACACTTTTGGAATTTATTTATTTCCAGAATTATAGTTCTGTGTTAGGTCATTTGTTGGACTTGGAGTTTTGCTTGGAGGATGGAGTGTTGTGGAAAGAGTTGGTAATGGGAAAATTCTAAGGGGGCTATTTTATCTTCTTTGAAGTGGATAACAAGGCTCTCAGAAGGCAATGCCTAGTGGCATTTCCTCTTTCACTTTGCCAACAGCTGAGCCTATACAAGACAAAAGGGAGTTCTGCTCCTCACGATGAAAGCTCCTTGCCTGCTGATACCTCAAAGAAGCTAAGGGTTGTGCTTATTCCTTAGAGAATGAAGCAGGAGATGCTACACATGACTGTGAAGTCCACATATGTGGAGATGGGTATGGAGGCCAAAAGGAACTTTATAACTGATAAAGCTGAGGAGGCTGAGTATGAAATCTTTGGGGATAATTAAGCACCATATTCCATGAAGGAATGTTATCTATAGAGGATCCCTACATGATCATGCGCCACAAGGAAGATTTTATTTTATTTTTTGAAAGTGACGCCACAAGGAAGATATTCGAAGCCCCTTCATGACTGTTAATTCCTATGAAGGTCCCATTAAGAACCTATGAAGGCTTGCCTCGACAATCATGGAAAGAATAAGTATGTGCTTTTACCAACAGTACAAATTCCATATGTTTGCTAACTAACAGCCTGTAGTCATTGGTTAGCATATGACACTTCAGTGGAAAAATAACCATGAGAATGTGGTATGTCTCTAGACAACTTAATGCTTCATTACCTCTTTCTGTTTGATCCTTGGACTTTCCTGAAATCTAACTGGTGGATGGAAAGAGAATGTGGTTAGGATGAAAATTTTTAAGAAATCAGGCTGGAAAGGTCCTTGATATTTCATAATGGATCAGGAGTCCACAGTTCTAAAAGACTAACAGTGGACATTGACGAAGAAGGTTAATATGGGTAATCAAGGTGATTATGGTAGTCATGCTGGGGATATTGCTTGAATGGGTGATAGAAGAAGGCTGCATTGAGAACATACTGCTGATTCAGGATGTTGGTTTTGAAGAACAATTTTTTATCATGATGGGGATGGCCCTTGGTTTTATAGACTAGGATCAGTGACGAAAATGTTTAGAAGCCTTAGGAAAAGAAATAAGAACCTGACAGGTTTTATCCCAAGGATGAAGACAATGTCATGGAATGTAAGGAGTGTTGTTTTCAGGATTGGATTGGCCACCGAACCATTGAGGGGTTAGGTTCAGTCAAAACCAGTCCAATCATTGGTCGAATGAGTTGGACCAAATTTTTTCAAAAAAAGAAAGAAAAATAAATATGTAAAAATATGCCTAATTCATTTAGATGGTTGAACCAGTTAAAACTGGCTGGTCTGATTGGCCAACACTAGTCAAATATTTGTTTTGACCGGCTTTCAACCAAACCTGGTTTTTACCTTCGACCAATACATCTGTTGGTGGCCTGACCGGTTGGACCACCTGTGAGGTCCAGTTTTGATAACTATGTTAAGGAGTTTGGGAATGAAAAAAAGGTTGTGTTTGTCAAGGACTTTGCTTATAGGAGCGGATTTGATATCTTGAATGGTAAAAATAGATTTAGTTGGTACCTTCTGCAGTTATAAGATCTCTAGGGACGAAAGGAGTCTATGAGCTTTCAGACGGCCATCTATTGTTGCGTTAAGAGGCATTATAGTTATATGGGCACTCCTTTTGTCAAGAGGGGCATCCGTGATTGGGACTTCTTTTTCTATCAAGTTGTGCATCCAGTGGCTGAAAATTGTGCTTGTGTCCTAACCTTAGCATAACCCCTAGGGGGCTAGAAGGGAAGAACTTCCGCAAATCTTGACTCCATGAGAAGTGTGCGACAAAAACCTTGGTGTTTGGATTTCGGTGGGGGTAGTCAGATTTTCCTATAAGAAATGCTGTACCAGGCTTACGGCCTTCCACTAGGTGAAATAACCAGGAGAATGCAGTATTGACTCATTTGGATAGATTTTTTATATCTTAGGATTTGGAATCCAAGTTTCTAATTGTGCTTTTGAAGGCCTTTTGAAGGCCCTCCCAATACTAGTTTCAGATTGTGTCCCCATATTGCTTTGCTCCATTCTTATACTAGGAGTCTCAGGCGCTTCTTTCAGATTTGCAAATTGTAGAGGTTTGAGTCTCATAAGGAAGCTGGCTTCAGTGGAATTTTAGTATTCAAGGATAGGCATGCTTTGCATTTATGCAAGAAGTTACAAGATGTAAATGCTACATGATGGAGTGAAATATGTTTTTATTCGGACTTCTAGGTGTGAAAAATCCAACGTGCGGCTCAAGACCCTTGATAGAGGGGAGGGGACTGTTCTAATTGCAAAAAAGGATAGACTCAAAAGACCATTTTGAGAAGAGATTGTGAAGATGTCACATGACAAATGGAAATTTTTTGAAGACAAAAATCCATGTTGAGCTGGTTGGAGGGAGGGAATTCGAGCACTTCCTTATTCCATAAAATAGCGACTATAGACAGTTGTAAGATTCGTATCAACAAGATTAGCATCCAAATTGAGATAATTGAGGATGTAGATGATATCTTAGAGGCGATCGGATTCTAGTGACACCTCTACACATTAGGGAAGCTCGAGTGTTGAGTTTTGAGTGTGTGGAATTTGGTTTTATATTTGGAGCCTTTCATTTTGGAAAGATAGCTTGATGAGGATATTGAGGGGGCCCTGTTCTTTTTTGGGTAGAGAGGGAAAGCCCCAGGTCTGGTTGTTCTTGTCATAGCATTTTGCTAAGATTTCTCGGAATCGATAGCGACTAATGTCCTCTATTTCTTTTATGAGTTCCATGACAGGAGTTATCACAATTGTAGCAAGAATGTCACGTTTACACCCCAAAATTTTTAAGGCTGGAGGTGCAATGAGATAGAAGGACTTTAGGTCAATTAGTTTGGTCAGAGTATGTATAGAAAATAATGTTTTACATGTAGATTCAAATTGATAATTTAAGCCAAAAATAGATTGAATTATGTAGTGGATCAAATTTTATCACCTACCCCAAGTGTTTTTGCAAGGGGGTATGCACATCCTGGATAGTGCTATGACTGCTTGTAAATGTATCTTTTATCATTTGGTGGCAGAATCATGATGTTCATATCATTGTTTCCTGATGTTTTGCAATGTCATAGATGAGCCAGTCATTGCAATATCGTTGATAAGCTAGTGAGATTGCAAATGGCCTTTCTGCGGTGAGGATTCAATGCGGAGAGGAAATTCCACTTAGTTAAATTTGAAGATGTGTGCAAGCTGAGGGGTGTGGGAGATCTATACCAAACTATCCTAGGAAGATGACTCTATAGGAATACTTTTGGATGATAGTGTTTAGGTGAGAGCTTTTAGGGGAAGTATGGGTTTAAGTCAAGTAGGGCTTATGCGATTTGGAGGGATGTATGCAGTGTGGACACTTGTTTCTAGAGGATCTTTAGTTTAGAGTAGGTAAAGAGTCAGATTTTGCTTTGATAGTTGAATATGTGAAGATCCTTCCTGTCGTGCTGCCCTAATATTGCAAGATTGGCCCCTGGCCCTTCAGTTTTGGTTTGTGGTCATTCAAGTGGAGGGGAGGAAGCATAGTGTGATGTTCTCCATTCATCAAGAATGATAACTTCTATGAGTCAGTCTTCATTTCCCATTCTGGTAATATTGTTAACAAGTTCGTTTGGCCCCTCTATGTCGGGGTCTGTGGCCTTTAAAGGCTGTGAGAGCATGAAAATAATGAATTAAAGTGGATTGAAAACTTATGTGTGTTGGTCAGTCTATGGCTCTGGTCATGGCTAAAACCCTTATTTTTAGGCATGTGGAATTACTATTGAGGGTTTCTAGAGGATCATCATTTGTTGAGGTTCGATAGATGCCCAATAATGGTTTGTACGCTTGGAGAGCTTCGCCGTTACCAGTGTGGATGTAGGCATGTGAGAGCGATGGCTAAATACGCAACAAACTTTGGCACAATATGTAAGCATGACAGTCGCATCATCGAGAAGCAACCTTGCAAATGTATACGTGTGCATGTGTCCAGAGAGAGACCCTTTTTCACTATAGTGATATGTGTATGACTTGTTTTTAAGGGAGGAACCTGTAATCTACATTCTGGGACCTAATTTCACTATTTATTGGCTAGCTTTGACGAGCCAATCATGAAGCCCTACACGGAACTGTGGTCATTGGGCGCTTTGGGTTGGTTTGAGAAGATGGTCGAAGGTCATGGTTACTAGGTCGGATGGAGTGCCTTGACAGTCACTTTTCTTGACCCATTGGTACTTATCCATTCTTAGATGTTTTGTTTTCAGTGTGAGAAATGTTCATGTGAGTTTTAAAACTTTTTTTAGAATTTTTAAAATTACTTTGAGTAGTAAAAACCCTTAAAAGGG